CTCCACTTGAAAGTCACCTCCAGCCTTACTCAAAAAGTAGAGCAGCTGTGGCTGCCTGGGGGCCCACTGGTGTTCTGGGAAAGGAGCAGGAGGAACTTGCAGCAGGAGGAATTTCCTCAGTTTAATGTCAAATGCTAATAGAGGTGCCAGCAGAAAATGCAGTTACTCTCCTACTTAAAAGCTGCCTGAATCCAGGGGCAACTTTTACAAAATAATGTAGCTGCTAGCTCTGGGACTTGAGATACATGTTAAATTGCAGTAGCATGTGACACAAGCTGTCATTTGAACCTATGGAATTAACAAATGTGGTAGGAGATGTGTCACCCATCATAAGTAAGTCTATACTTACTTTGCTAGTGTGATAATCCAAGTTTATATATGAATGGCTATTTTCCACTTTCTCCTTTGGGTTCCACGCTAATTTTCCAGAATTCTTACCACTCTTTGCCTGTCTTACATGCATTTTTACTATCTTATTGGCCCTGAAACACCTCAAGCCTCTTCAAATCTCAAAACCAAACACTTTCAGCCAAAAAAGACCAACTGGCAATTAGAGCTTGTAGCTACTTCTCTCTCCTCCCTCCTCCTCGGTCAAGTATTTAATTGAATTTTGATCAGATGTCTGATATGTATATACAGTAAAGAAGAATTTCTTCAAATGTAAAATAAATTGATTTAAATACTCAGGAGGCATTGCTGATTGTCAGGCAATCAAATCACGGATTTGCATAATCACTACATCGTTGTTTTGATTTACATATCTGTATGTACACACAGACAAAATGAAAGAGCAAGAGAGGGAATTTTCTATGTTGTACCTCAGGGGAATTTTCAAGCAATTTGCCAGCTTTGGTTTCTCATTATGTGTTGCTAGCATAAAACATAAAAAAGACATGTACAAAAGACAAGGAAAAATGTCTAAACAGAAGGAAAACAAAGTTGCTAAATGCTGAAAAGTACCAGTGATGAAAAAACTATTTATTACTATCATTTTACTCTACAGGTCAATAGAAGACTTCATTATTTTCTTCACACTACCTGTTTGCTCTGGGAGGAATATAGTTCCTACACCTCACATATGCAAAGCTACACCTTTCTGGGGAAAAAGGTCTTGTTGACCTATGAGGACCTGAGGACCTATGAGCAAGGGAAAGGGAAGAGGAAACAATAAAAACTGCCTAGGGAAAAAGCCAAGCAAAGCAGTGTGGCAAGTTCTCAAAGGTTTTAGTTTTGTTTTTTTATTCTGCTTTGGCTTTCTTTTTTTTCTTCTAGCCTTCTTGTAGCAGATTCACAGATCGTTTAGTCTTTAGTATTTATCCCCCAGAAAAGCAATACACAAGTGTTGCCTATTAACAGGATACTTATCTTTTGTGGTTCTACATACCTCAGTTCATTTCATTCAGGATGCAATTACCTTGCAAATAGAGCTATTGGACTTTTTTAAAGCTTAAGGGAAAACTTCTAACTCCTGGACTGTGAATGGCTCATAAGGACTACTTTCACAGCTGTCGCTTTAACTTCTTGACTCTCTAGTCTCATTTCATCACCAATGGAAAGGAAGACTCTTCCACAAGACAGATCAGAGTAGCTAAATTTGGCTTCTGCTCAGCGTCACATTTAAAGGTGATCACCTCTTTCTTTCTACTCCACACACAGCCCAAGGAAGTCAGCCTCAGAACAGTAATGATGGCTTTAAAGGATATCCCTGGCCCCTTAAAAATACTAAATTGAACTTTGTACTGATGTCCCACAGGAACTGCAGTTTAATCTTTATTTTGCAGCCTCATTTTAAATGTCCTTTGGTCCCCTTGGGCCTACATGCTTTTCACCACTCAGCATGTCAGATAGTAAGACATGATCCTCAGCAGATTTAGATACAAAACTTTATGCTTTGGAAATTAAAAAGTATTCCAAGCACCCATGTAACTCAGAGAATGTCAAAACAGATGGGTGCAGAAAAGCACATATGCCCCATGCTCACACATAGGGGCAGTAAGTTAAGGGGTTAAAGACTTTGATAACAATACAAGCTTAAGGAGCCTGTGTTCTGCCTCCTTGCTGGCATTCATTCCGTCTTCATACTATAACTGCCCAGTCAACAAGCTGAAAAATGCAACAAAAGAAAAAAAAAAAGAGGTGAAGTGTGTTTTAAAAACAGATCAGATTGCTGATCCAGTTTCCAGCATAGCTACAGAAACAGTTGTCAGCCCAAGTGGTAGGGTAGGGCTGTGAAGTGTGGGAGCAAGTATGCAGGACAAGGGGGCACAGGGACTCTCTAAACACATACTGGTGCCAGAGATCCCACACTGTGAAACTATACCCAGTCAGATGTGATACTCCATTGCTGCATCAGCACGGCACTGTGCCTTAGATAACAAATTTAGGAGAGGGGATGTGGTAAACTTAACAGGGCACTAAGCACGTCTGGGCCAGAACTGGCTTTGTGTTCAGCCTGTTTAGAGTAGGAGTGGAAGGCACATGAATCTATCTGCTCCTGCCCACATGGACGTAATCTAATGTGTGTTAGTAGCCATACTTGACATAGTGCAATGTCTTACAATGACAGGTTCCTCTCTGCATCTAAGCTATGACAGTAGCAGCAGATTTCTCTCCCATGCTTCCATCCAAGAATTTAAAACTTTTTTTAATGCTAACGAGTGAATTTTTGCTTCTAATCCCTCTGTTTTATAGATCTAGAATTCCAGCAATAGGCAATAAAAGCCTGCAGCACAGCCAAGAACGTCACCTTAGTCTCCTGCCTTACTAACTGTGTCCTGCTCTTACATGCAAGAAGAAATATTAAGTGCATGGACAGACATCACCGTGCAGCAACTGGCTGAGACACTGGAAGAGGCCTCTTGTTCCTGCCTCCCACCCAGAGGGAATTACCTATTATCACATAGCATCTAAACTCATGCCAGTTGCTGCCAAGAAGAACAGCTGGGTTAGCTTAAATGGTTTTAATGACTAATCTGAGCTATCCCAGATGCTTTGCCTGCAGATGATATAGGAAGCGGTCAAGCGCTGCTCACTAGTCTGAGCACCCTGGAAGTAATGAGTAGCGATAAGTAGGGCAAAATGAGGGAGATGGGAGTGCAGAGGGCTGGTCTCCTCCTTTCAGGTTTAAATACTCGGGCCTTACTTGAAGAACCTAGGTGTGAAAACATTAGCACGTTGTCCAAACTGTGATCAGAGAGAACTACGACTCTGTCCCACAAGATACTGCTTTCGCTACACTCTTGTTTTCAGTCATGGAGCCTCAGGAGTCCCAGCATGACATGACAGAAACTACCATTCATTTGCTCCACACTCGGTACTCTCAGTATTTCTGCACCAGCTATCTAACAGGCTTCCATATTCTTAATTTTCATTTGCACACATAAATTGTCTCTTCAGTACCCTCTGCTGTCTGTTCAATGCCATGTCGCTCTCAGAATAACAACTGCAGAGGTTTAGGGTAGTGGTATATTTTTCCATCCCACTTCATTTAACTGAGCAAAGGGCCCAGCTGCCCCTAACTGCCTGTACAACTGGTGGAGGGAGCCAGGCATCTCTGAAATGCAGTAGGCCTCTTCTGAGATCTGAAGTGCCTTTGGGAATCGCCCATTTCTCCCCACTGATGATACATTCCCAAAAAAGGTCTCTGTTATGCGCCTAAAGATAGATGGCATGGATTTGGACTCAGATGACCCACCCAGTTCAGCCTCAAATGAATAAAAGCTGAGTTCAAACAAATGTTCTGCCCAGAGAACACCCATTTCTTCGGATTTTGGAGTTCTAGATCTAGAAACAGAACACATTTGAATGACACTTGAGGAACGAAGCGGACTAGGTCAAACTGTCATGGAATCAATGAATGCAGATAGATCTCTCTATTACTTCTACAGCTGCTCCTATCCCACCTAATGAATCTTCCTGCTCCAGCCACAATTACAGTAAGCTCCCTGAGAGGAAGGTTTGGAATTCAGAATAAGAACATATATAAGACTGGAGAAATCAGAAAACAGGAAGAGAAAGCTCATAAATCAATCTAAAAAGGCCTAGCAATGTGGTGAATAGAATATAGCTACTGCTTCTTTCTCGTCATGATACTGAGGTTACACTCAGAGTTTGCTCTCAGGATATGTTCGAGGCTGCCCCCAGAATTGACAGCACATCATTGAGGCTGTGGAATCGAAAGTAGTTGGATGTCATGCTAGCCATCTCCAGGGAGCAGCTAGTTCTAGACAGATCTTTGTCCTTTTTAAACAATTAATTGAATCTCGTAAGAGGCACAGGTTCACTTGCAGTGACAGCCTGCCTTCTTTTGCTGAGTTTACATCTATCAGCATTTAGCTAGCCAACTTCATGTTTTTATTTAACTACCTGAACAACAGAACAATAACAAAATAATTTTATTAAATAGCATCCCACCCCACTTTCTTCATATGTTCAGTCTCCCCTCAGCTACCATAATTTCTTTTGATCACTCCCTTAACTCTACATCTGAATTTTAGAAACACAGCTGGCTTCCACAGTCAGTGTCATAACAAAATGGGAGTAGGTCCCAGCCACCTGGTAGTGACGTCAGCCTTTGTCTTGTCTGGATAATATCTCCTAAAGATAAAAAAAGATCCCAGATTGGACAAAGCACACCCTAGAATCCAACCTGGTTTCTAAGGGAGTTTCTTATTTTTAATAATGTATAAGAAAAACATAATGCTCTGAAAGAAGAAATCATTATCTGAACACCCACTGAAACACAGACAATTCAATTTAACGTTGGAGATAAACTAATCTTAGAGCCCATTTACACCCCTATCCCTCTCCCAGTGTCCACAAATTTCCACCTTTCATCTTTTCACAGATATGGGTCACCAATCAATATTAAGGGATTTTTGAGGCACCCATATATAGAAAACAGCTTGCACCACAATTTCATCAAGGGTCTCTGTCAGACTTCTTTGCCATGTGAATGCCTAGGATCTAAGTAAGGTGCATCGTCAAGCTCTGTCACATACCTTCTGCACCGATTGACACAAGTTTCACTCCTTTGCTGGCGATATAATCCAGAGCTTTGTTGACATTAGCAATTTTATGGAAGCGCATCTTCCCTCTGTCTGGTTTCGGTAGTCTTTCTCCTGCAGAATAACAAATTTAATGTGTTTATTGTTACATACACCTGGCTACAGACACCCAAGTGATTAGAACTCAAGAGCAAATGTGCTCTGAACACTGTCTAAAAGTTAGCAGTTATTTTAACAGGTATTTTTCTGAAAGAATGTCAAATGGCTTTGAACAAAACCCTGAAGAGAAAATTCAAATGTTGAAACATCTGACTTAGATCTGTCTGATACAGCAGTAAAATCAGAGTAAAATTTTTATGTTTGCCCTAAACATCTGGAAGACATGAGTACTTCTTGCTACTCAACTTCTGGTTCATTCCTACTGGTTGTGTTAGAGTAGCTGAATATTAAGGTGGCAGGATGTTCTCAGAGCTCATCACCCTTACCTGCCTGATTGTAAAGAGAGGCTGGACTCTATCTAGCAGATTAGCCATGGCATCCTTCTACAACTGACCAAGAACAATGGCTTTTAACAACCCCATCTAGTATAGCAGAGCAGCTCATTTCAGAGCATAAGCTGATGTGTTTGAATGAATTTATTTTTTCAAAGGATAACAAAGAAGAATAATTTCTGAAAATGTGACGCTCCATTTCATGAAGAGTGATTATCTGAAGATCTTATTGCCCCACTGAAATCTCCAGCAAAAACGTGAACTGTCTTTTCCATACAGATGTCTTAAAAATCTTCTTGCCCTTTTTCACCTTCATTGTGTGTCTGTAAGATGAGCTATTCCCTTCCCATTCAGGGGCATTCTGAGTGTACCTTGGGGACCACCCCTCTGAATAACACATAAAACAGGTGACATAGTGAGTTTACATCAGTTAGTCAAAAGGAGTTCTTGGATGCTCCCCTCTTCTGAAAAAGGAGACCTTTTACTTGTGACTGAATATTGATCTAGTTTTACTTTAGGTACTCACTTTTGAAAGCATTGGTACATCCAATAAAGTCATTAAAAGCAAAGCAAAACTTTTATACTAGAAGTGGAATAAACTGAATTTGTAACCTAAGCATAAAGGCTTTTAAATTGTTAGGGGCTAAGACCAGGTCCTCAACGTTTGTGGTTTGTCCAACAACACTGTGATGTGAGTGATACCCTGATACACCGTGATATTCTGGAACACAAGCACAAACCAGAAGATTTTGGAAATAAGGAAAAAGCAGAGGTTTTTTTTCCTCCCTTTTGTTTTACAGTGTGTTTTATCTCTCAACTTTTCAGCCTACTTAGAGTTTGTGTTCACTGTTCTGAATTGTTAACAATTTTTGTTCTTTTAAGAGTGTTTCTGTTAGCATGCTGTAAATACATAGCAAAATTTATTTTAGCCAACCTGAGATAACTTCCAAGAGAAGCATCAGTTTCAGGCCATTTCTGAAGTCCTCCTCAATGTTCTCAATCTGCGTGCCTGCTTTCCTGAGGTGGGAATTGCACCAGGCTGTAAACGTCTGTAATAATAATTTAAAAAAATACTTATCAACAAAGCTTTTTCCAGAACAATTGATGTGCCATCTGAGTAAACACTGCATCTGAGATTTTCACTACTGCCTTGGAAATTTGGATGTCCAACTCCCATTCATTTTATACATGCCACTGAGGTCAAAATTCTTATCCCAGATGTTCATGAAAATGCAAAGAATTGCTTGATTAGAAGCAATATTGTGCTAGATTCTGCTCATAAATGCATCCCCAAAAAAGATCTACATATAAAGGCAAAATTTATCTAATAGTTATTACTACACTTACCATTTTATAAGCACATAATTTTACGTTGAGACTTACCTGTTACACATTCTTCCTCAAAAGAAAGATTGATATGATATAAAGTAAGCTGTGTGACAGTAAAATGTAGGCAATAGAAAGCACTTGAATTTGTGCCACGATAAACAGTTCTTACACAGATTATCTATGCCAGGGACAAATAACAAGCATTTCTCAGAGGCAGAAAGTTGTGAGAACACTCTTCAGGATGAAGTAACTGAAGAGAGACTTTACACAGCAAGGATACCAGCAAAATTGCATCTGCTCCTACTCGTAACTACAGTGAGAAACAGAATGCCTTTTGAAAACGTGGACCATTAGAATGGTTTTTGAAGGTTTACAATAATTCAAGTGCAGAAGTTTCACATTCAGACCCTGCAGATATGGCCTGCCTTATCAAGGGTTTTATTTTTAAACTGTATTATATAGTTTTCAGAAAACTACCACAATTCATGAAACACACAAATGCAGATACTTAAGTTTGCAGGGCAAAAATGGTCACAAAAGCAACCATGAGCATTACTCTCTCCATGGAGAATAACCAAGTCTGCTTTTACTTGCAGAGGTGTAAAGCAGAACTAACTCCATTGATCTACAGAGGTCATATACACATTACCTTTTGTATGAATGAAATCAAAACACAGGCTACTATAAAATCTAGTAGTTAAAATTAGTCTGTTTTCAAATATCCACTACTTCTCAGTCTTCTGACAAATTCTCCTTGCTTTTCAGTGTCCGTGCAGATATATAGAGCAAGTTGGTATTTACTAGGTATTTAACCAGGTATTGAACTCTAGGTATATAACCATACATTTTGGTAAGTTAGACTTCAGCTACTTAAAATTTTCAGATATGTGGAATTCCCCTTCTCTTGCTATTTCAAATTACCATAGTTTTAAAAACATTTAATGTAAATAGTTAAGAAAAAAAATAATATCCTAAATCCCCATTGTCAAGATGAAATTTCCTTTGGCCTTCCTTTTTCTTGGCTATTTTTTTAGATTATTTTATTTCTGATCTCTCAAAAACAGAGTAAGAAAGGCCGGTAGATGAAGGCAAAACTTCCCCTCATTTGAATCTTGTAAATTCTAGACAGTTTTCATACCCTAAGAAGATATGGATTGAATTTTCAAAAGTGGTCTGTTCTTAAAAACGCAACTTTCTGTTAAAGAATAACATTATGATTGTTGTTGGGTTTGACTTGATTTATGCAAAGAATTTATGTGCAGCTTACTGGGCTCTTTTCTCAGAGATCCTACAGTGACAAGGAGCAGCTTGCTAAGCTTTAGTTTTATCAACTTCTCCTTTCCAATTGAAAGGAAGAAGAAAGAAGTGCTATGGATATGGGAGATATGGGGGAGCTGTGCAGTGAAATCTCTAATTCTAGATACCCAGAGACAGGAGCAGAGAGAAGACAGTATTGGAAGTGGTTATGGGCAGGGGTCCTGTCGACCTGCAGAGGATGAATTGCAGGTAGAGGCATAAGAAAGTCGTTCTGTGTACAGACAGAGGTAAGTATGGCTGCAGCTGAAGTATCTCTGGAAATACACCTATTTTAATAAAGGGATGTTAGCTTGAAAAGCAGTCATTCAGGAAGGTAACACTTTCCTCATTTTAAGGTAACTAGCTTTACTAAGCTCATGGGAGACCTGAAACCAGAGCGTATCACATCACAGCAGAGATACTAGGCACCTCTACCCTCAGGGCTCAACATGATGGAGTCTTAGGATGGTATTTGGTTTGGATCATCATAGGGTTAGGATCTATTTTATAAGACTAATTTGTCTGCTTCAAGCAGTATCTTGTTCTAGTAATATGTATCTAAAAAGGCTTAGCACCACATTAAGTCATTTGCAAATACTAAAAATTATGACAAGCATCCTTGGAAGGAACAATAATACAGAAAAAACAGCTGAAAGCACTCAAGGGTAAATGCACATGAACCTTGCATGGCAATTTGGCAATAAATATTAGAAAGCTGAACCACTAAATGAATGAGCCTTTCATGAACTGAGCTTAAGTGATGGACATGTGCTTAGCTGCAGATGCTATTGCAGTTTGTAGAATTGCTCCAAGAACACCATGCTAAACTCAAAGAGGAATTTGGAGAAAAAACTTCAGCAATTTCCAGCTCTTGTATTAGACATTTTATGGCAAACATTCTGACCTTGTACCGTGCAAGTAGATGAGTTTTCCCCATTTTTCATTTAATTAAGGGTTTAATGGCAATGACCCCACCACTAGAGCAGTCTTAAAAGACAAATCTGGTTCCTACTGTGAAGAAAGCTACTTCTCACTTAGTTTCTTAAGAGGAAATAGAACCTGGCACTTCTTAGCTCACATATGCATATATAAATATATATATAAAAGCAAACTAGAATTTTGTCCACCTCTAATCTCACTGTGTTCCTCTACTTCACCTCTTCAACAGCTAATTCAACTTACTGGATGACGCACTGCTAAACAAAAAACAGTTTTATCCAAAGATCTCAAAGCTTTCAAGTAATTTAAATAGTTTCTCTTGAAAACAGATATTTTTACAGCACTGAATTTGCTGACAGAAACTCTCTTCTCGATCTTGTTCATTTTATAAAGACACTAAGCAGTCAATGTTGCTGTGATATAAGCAAGGAAAAGATGCTACTACTGCCAAGTCAAGCTGTTTTCAATAAATAGTTTGATGACAGTTACTGGTTTTATGGGCTGCCTTTTTATATGTGTAGGTTATGTAAGATTCTTTCCAGGAGTATTGGGGTTTGTCATTGATGTTGTAGCATTCTGAAGGATAAACTTGAAATTACCTTCAAAGCCTCCATTCATGAGATAAAAAGTTCTGCCGAAGTACTCTACTGTGCATGGATTCTTTATTTAGACTATCTATACCTGGATAGTTTAGATTATCTTCTATATCTAGAATACGAAATTTAGATCTTTCATCTGAACTACAGTTTCTCAGAGCTCTCTGTTTTACCAGTGCACCAGGTCATGAAATGGTACTATCCCCTTATGACAGTTGTCTTGTGCCTCATGGAAAGTGTCGCTGCAGTACATTACAGCAGACTCTGGGCATGTAGCTTCATAGCCTGGTGCCTTCCAAACTGGCTTACTTTCCCTAGGACTAAACATGGTTATAGGAATGCTACCTCAGGAAGTGTTTACTATGTTTCAGTGATGCAATCCATAAGTGACTGTATTAAAGATACTGCAAAACTTAACCTGCAAATTTTAACAGTTTCCACGATCCACATTTTATTTAACCCTCATCCTTCTATTCTTATTGTGATACCATTTGTTCTCACTGCTTTGGCTTTAACTAAAAGTTCTATTCATAGCTATTAAGAAACAATTCAAAGCATGTTTAAGTCCTGGAGATCAAAATACAGCCAGCATATAGTACCCTACAAATTTGTAATCCACTAGGATTTAAAAGCTATTAAATGACTTAGACAAAGCAAATTCCTTTTTCTGCTGAGCTGTACAGTACATTTTAGCGTATCGGATTGCCCAGAGAAATGAGGCAGGACTGAAGGCACCAAGCCGAATACCAGGAGGGATACAAGTAAGTGCCTAGAAAGCTAGACATTTCTTTTTAGAATTTATTTACTATAGGTGGCTCTACAAATTAAAAAAATAAATCAATAAACATTTCTCCTTTCCAAAGTTGTTATGACAAAAGAAACTTTGCTGACATTCTTAGATGAGACCACAGAAGAGAAGATGCAGGGCACGAAGCTAAACAATTTGCAGTCTCACAGTTAAATGTTCTCTTAATGCACTATTAGTTGTCTACTGCTGTCACAGGTCTATTTTGGAAAAGCTAACTCCAGAAAAGGGAGTGCAGTTTATGTTCTATGCCCACTTAGTCTCGTTGTAAAGACTGCCAGTAACATATCCTCCCTAATTTGGATTCATTGATCTGTGATGGCAAAGTGTGCACCGAAAAAAAAACCACTTTACCTGGTAACTTACTCAGGCCACTTAATTTTACAAGCCCTTGACAAGTAGAACTGCCAGCAAAGGGCAGAAAAAGGAGATATCCCTAATCAATTATCAATCAACTGCAGCTAATGCCAAAAAATAACAGGGTATGCCTGCTCCATGCAAATATTTCAACACATAGATGACATACTTTGATGGAAAAAGTGATATCTCTGAAAGCTGAGTTGTCCTATGCTCCTGAGACAGCCCAGATGTCCTTTTTATGTGAGTGTAATGACAACTTACTTTTGATAGTGCTTCAAAGCCAGAAACCAAGATGCTATAATAAAAAGTTTCATATGTGCATGTGATAATAGGGATAAAGAGAATTGAGAAAGCACCAGTTACTACTGTCTCCAATACTGTTACCCATCAGTGGGTCACAAGACAGCTTGTTATACCTGCTGAAAATACAAGGTAAATTTCTTGTTTGGCACTGACAGTGAGTCCAAAATGTACATCACCAAAACAACAGCATAACTTGAATGGGGCATGTACAGGGGATACACTCCACAAGTTCAGGACATTTTATTTACTTGCATTCAGAATTGAAATTGAGAAGTGGTTCCAGCCCAATAAAGGACTGGAGACCTGTATCCTATTTAGTACGTATGTCTCATAACAAAGGTTAACACTGCCTTTTACTCTCTCCAACTCAAATCAATTTCTGTCTGCTATAATATTTACACGTTTTAAAAACTAATATTTA